TTTTGGATAGTAATAGGGGGGCCTGCCGCTGGCAGTGGCCCCCCTAACTAGAAAATGTCTAAAGAAATTTTGAAGGGGGCCACCTACTGCCCGTCAAGGAACCCGGGGCTGGCTTCCTGGGGCCCTCAAAAGTTGGACACTGAATAGTTGGGCTCTTTATAATGTGGGCTTGCGCCTAGGAGAGGACCTGAGGGAGAGATACAGTGATGGAGGGACCGGGTAGAGCTCTGGGGCCCGCTGACCGAATGTAATTGGTTTTAGAAGGTTGCGGGTCATTGGCTGAAAGCTTAGAAAAAGACCTACGCAACGAGGTGTGACATGACTGGGTCCGGCCCCAGTCAATTCTCTGAGCTCCTAAATTTCAGTAAAACATCAACAGCGATTGCGGGCAAACGGTGCAAGATCTGGCCTCGTGGCTCACCTATGGCGGAGGCCTGTGTTTCATGACCCGTTTAATGTTCGAACAAGGTTTCTCGGACGTCGTGGGGATTTTTTTTGGGCCCATTTGTCCGCGTCTCCCATGCATTTCCTATGGCAAATGTCGAGTCAGCACTCGGTTTTTTGGAGTTGATTCGAAAATGCCCGGTCCTTTGAGAAAGATTTTGAATAGCAAGCATCCCGTTTTGGGCTCGATCCGCGCAACCGTGCGCGAGGAGTTATGCGCCGAAAATCGTGATGGAAGTGGAACTAGAATAAGTCACGGAATAAGTATTTCAGATAGTAATAGGGGGGCCTGCCGCTGGCAGTGGCCCCACTAATAATAAGCCGCAGAATAAATATGGCGAAGAGTAATAGGGGGGCCTGCCTCTGGCAGTGGCCCCCCTAAAAATTAAACCAAACTCAAAGTATTCAAGATAGTATTAGCCCGATTCTTTAGTTGGAAACCTGAGAACAAACCAGAGTGGATCAGAATTATAAAAACTGACATTAATTTGGTCACAGGCAAAGTATATCAGCGCTGGGCTCTTCACAGACAAAACCTCTCTCTGGGTCTGAGTCTGAAAAGAGCCCCAAACTCCATGTGTCATGGGTATTTGTGTCCTGGGCTGGCCACAGCCATCAAAAGGACTGGACATGACTGAGTTCTTATTGGCCAGTTATTTACTAACCCTGATCCTAACATGAACCAGCCAGGTCCTAATTAATGCAGGTAACCTTGGAATGTGGTGACATGTTTGTGTGTGTGTGTGTGTGTGTGTGTGTGTGTGTGTGTGTTGACCTAACGACTTGTGTCTAAAGCAACAGAAAGAGAAAAGAGAGGAAAAGAAAATCTGTGGTTACAGCCAGAGAATTTAACACAAAAGTATAGTTCTAAAAGTAATGAGACAATCAGTAATTTACATAGATCATGTGATAGCATACTATGCTAAAGTGAGTAATTATAGCCAAATTCTAAAAATAGTGAAAATGTTTAGCAAATTAATAACAACTGATATGTAAACCTAATGAATCATCCCCAAGTCTCTGTCACGGTTTGGGAAGCTGGCTCATCATTGGGTTATTTGAGCGATCAAGCATAGCCTATTTTAAAAAAAGCCTCCCGAAAGATTGCAAAATCATGGCCTTCAAAAATTCCCCATCTAATCTGAAGAAGCGAATCAAGGTAAGTTAAAAAATACAAAGACATATAAGCTAATAAATAAGCGCTAGTTAACATTACCTAAAGCAAACATAGCTGGCTAGCACACACACACACACAAACTTTGTTACCACATTCCAAGGGCGTCAGGTCTCTTACCTCCCAGGTGGTGGGGCGTCAAAGAGTCTATTGACAATTGAATGTCCACCGACTCCTTGCAAGGGAGACATCGCACCGAGGGAGTCTTCGTTCTGGCTCCGCATGGAGGAGGTGGATTTACCTGCCGATGTTGGCTGTTTTACCTATGACAATCCGATCAAAACACTCGTCAATGTAATCCTTTACAGTGACTTTCTCTGCTGTTCTCCAGTGTTTGCATTTTGTTTCTTCCCCCAGAACATGTATTTGCAAAATGCCAGGCGAAATTGTAGTTTGACAGAATTTCACTGAGTTGTTTGTTTGGAAGCGTGCCATGGAATTTGATTATACCAACAGTCTCACAGAGTCTTTTGACATTACAGTATTCTGTCCGACACCCAATTTTCAGTCTCTTTTTGCTGTGTATTTGCAAAAGCCAAAAAAAAGGAATAGTTTAGATTTTTTATGTGAAAGCCACTGTTTATCAGATTCTTATCTGAGCAGTGGAGCAGAATAAAAAAAGATATTTTTTAGAATTTGTGACTTTTAATGTGCTCTGATGCAGCTGCACCACAACTGAGAGTGTGTTTGTTGTTCAGTGGGCACAAATACTCCTGTCCTGTGAACACTTCCACTTCCACTCATGCAGGACACATATGATGAGTGGTGAGTGATGCATTATGAGTCCTGCATGAACCTGTTTCTCAATGTTTTTAGAGCAAAGATGATGACAAGGAAACAGAGGGACACCCTTCAGAAGCTCCAACAGAAGGCCCCCCAACCCATTCAGCAACTTCAGGACGTCCACCCTCTTCAGCAGGTAAAGCTTCAGTGTCCAGCGCATCAGGTTAACCATTCAACACAATGAATGAAGACTGTTAACCAGCTCTGTTCTGATACATGAACTGTAGCAGGAGTCATGAAGCCCCGCTGACCAATCACAGAAGATTGTTTCTGTTTGGTTTTAGCATCACTGTGTGTGAAGATATTCTATTCAGTTAAACACATACACACATTCATTTAATAACAAGGTCAAAATGTACAGATTTGTGTTGTGCATCTTTTAACTAAAAAGCACTTCTGGTAGTCACATGGAAGTTTGATCATCTGCCACTTTTGGAGAGTCAATCAATACAAAGTCAAGCACAAACTTACCAAAGAAAACAACAAACTATAGAAAGACCCACAGGAATTCTACATCAAAGACAGAAGAAAATTAATCAAAACAGAACAAATCCGGAGAGGAAAACCCCAGTTAGTGAGAAGGTTTCTGGTTATGAAGCAGTGGAGCTGGGAATAGAAGCTTTCAATAAAGGAAGAAAACATGAGACAGCATTGTGAGATGAAGAGACTAGTGCTTTTCCTTGTGAGACATAAATGTTACTGCAATACTGAAGTCATACTGTTTGTCATTTTATAAGCTGATATGTTTAATGACATGAAAAGGCGAGACAAGACAAAATACAATTATTCTCTAAGTTGTTCTTTCTTTCATATAGTGAGCTTTGCAATATAAATGAGTCTGTTGCTGAATGGACAATAGAAAAAGGCTCTGCCTTGGCTTGTTGGAAAAGCATGGTTATGACCATTTCTCAGCTCAGGAACTAGGACCCATATGGTATCTGGTTGTTCAATAGTTTGCCTAAAAAAAAGATTTAAATATGACTTATCAATATATTCGTGCAAAAAGGTCTGATGTTGCAGGAGCAGGTAAAGAAAAGTGCTTGGAACATGCTCTTCTTCGGCTGCCCGTTTGTTTAATCCTTTATCCAATCTCATCTACAGGGGCTGGTCATATCACAGATTATTTGCATTGCAATAAGGACAGTTAGCAAGGTAGAGCGAATACACAAAACTGAAAACTAAAATTCTCTGGGACTTCCAGTGTTAAAACTCTGGTGTTTTCATGCTGAGTAATACTCAGTTTTGCTGAAGTACGACTTCAAATGGAGGCCTGTCTTCACTAAATGCATCAATAGCATGCACTGAAAAATTAAAGAGAGAGATGTGTTTGTTTCTTCTTGCAGTGTGTGAGGTTGAAAGGATCAGGCGTTACTTTGTGGCCAAAATGCCTGAAGCAAGCCTCAAACAGCTCCTCGATGCCTTGAGAAACGATGATATTGTCAGTGAGTTGCAAGAAGAGGAGATACTGCAGAAGAGCCCACTTAGAGCCGACAAAGCACGTGCGTTCGTGGACTATGTGAAGAATCAAGGAGAAGCGGCCTGTAAGAAGATGATAGAACATTTTAAAGCCTTAGATCCAGTCCTTTCCTCTGAGCTGGGCTTTTCCTCTGCTCATCCTGCTCTGAAAGGTGAGGCCTCACATCCTTTAACAGCAGTTACTCTGAACAGTTACTGGATTCCACATATTGCAGCTGTAATCTCAGTGGTTTGACCTTTAACATTCTTTGTAGTCACTCCACAAAAGCCACATATATTTCTTTGGTGTCCCAAACAAATGTTCATTAAACCCATGAAGATCTTCTCACCTGGTCGTTTCCCTACAGACAAGGAGCCCCAAAGCTTAGCTAGCAAAGGTTATGAGCCTAACTGCACCTCCTTTGACCACAGTGGTTAAACTACAATAACCTGTAAGCAGCTCAGGAATGAAGAGCAGATCACATCTGAGTATGGATGCGGTGGCACTGCTGTTAGTTTGGATACTCAGTTGGTCAAAGCCTTTTTTTAAACTTTTCAGTGATACTCAGCTCTACACTTGTTTTAGACCTGTTGCTTCTTTGTTTAGCAACCAACCTGCAGAGTAATCTCAGATTTAATAAAAACTCATGAGGTACTTCATGTCTAGCTATTGTTTAGAAATTGTGACTATCTCTGGAATGATTTCTCTTTTAGCTGTTCGGGAAAATAAACTGAAACTTCCATGTGTTTTTTTTCCATTTAGAGTTTTATTTGGGCATTCAATCAAAACATAAGTCTTCTATGAAGAAGAAGTTCCAGTGTGTGTTTGAGGGCATTTCTAAAGCAGGAAAGCAATCCCTTCTGAATCAGATCTACACAGAGCTCTACATCACAGAAGGAGGGGCTCCAGAGCTCAATGAGGAACATGAGGTCAGACAGATTGAAGCAGCATCCAGGAAAGCAGACAGACCAGAAACAACCATTAGACAAGAAGACGTCTTTAAAGGCCCACCTGGAAGAGAGCAGCCAATCAGAGCAGTGCTGACAAAGGGGGTGGCTGGCATTGGGAAAACAGTCCTGACCCAGAAGTTCACTCTGGACTGGGCTGAAGGCAAAGCCAACCAGGACATCCACTTCCTGTTTCCCTTCACCTTCAGAGAGCTGAACGTGCTGAGAGAGAAACAGTTCAGCCTGCTGGGACTCCTCCATCACTTCTTTCCTGAAACCAAAGCAGCAGGAGTCTGCAGCTCTGCAGAGTTCCAGGTTGTGTTCATCTTTGATGGTCTGGATGAGAGTCGACTTCCTCTGGACTTCCACAACAAGGTGCCCCTGACCGACGTCACTGAGTCCAGCTCAGTGGACGTGCTGCTGACCAGCCTCATCAGGGGGAACCTGCTCCCTTCTGCTCGCCTCTGGATAACCACACGGCCCGCAGCAGCCAATAATATCCCTGCTGACTGCATCGGCATGGTGACGGAGGTCAGAGGCTTCACAGATGAGCAGAAAGAGCAATATTTCAGGAAGAGGTTCAGAAAGAAGAACCAGGCCAGCAGCATCATCTCCCACATCAAGAGCTGCCGAAGCCTCCACATCATGTGCCACATCCCAGTCTTCTGCTGGATCTCTGCTACAGTTCTGGAGAAAATGCTGAAAACCAGAGGGGGGGGGCAGCTGCCCAGGAGCCTGACCGAGATGTACATCCACTTCCTGGTGGTTCAGGCCAAAGTGAAGAGGGTCAAATATGATGGAGGATCTGAGACAGACCCACACTGGAGTCCAGAGAGCAGGAAGATGGTGGAGTCTCTGGGAAAATTGGCTTTTGATCAGCTGCAGAAAGGAAACCCGATCTTCTATGAATCAGACCTGACAGAGTGTGGCATCGATATCTCAGCAGCCTCAATGTACTCAGGAGTGTTCACACAGGTCTTTAAAGAGGAGAGCAGGCTGTACCAGGACAGGGTGTTCTGCTTTGTCCATCTTAGTGTTCAGGAGTTTCTGGCTGCTCTGCATGTCCATCTGACCTTCATCAGCTCTGGAACCAACCTGCTGGAAGAAAAAACAACAATTTCTACCATTATTAACATGTTTTTTAAACCAAGTCTCCAAGGGCTCCATCAGAGTGCTGTGAATGTGGCCTTACAGAGTCCAAATGGACACCTGGACCTGGTGCTCCGCTTCCTGCTGGGTCTTTCTCTGCAGACCAATCAGAGGCTCCTACGAGGTCTGCTGACACAGACAGGAAGTGACTCCCAGACTAATCAGGAAACAGTTCAGTACATCAAGAAGAAGCTGAGTGAAGATGTGTCTGTAGAGAGAATCATCAACCTGATCCACTGCCTGAATGAACTGAATGATGGTTCTCTGGTGGAGGAGATCCAACAGGCCCTGAGTTCAGGAAGTCTCTCCACACATAGACTGTCTCCTGCTCAGTGGTCAGCTCTGGTCTTCGTCTTACTGTCATCAGATAAAGATCTGGATGAGTTTGATCTGAAGAAATATTCTGCTTCAGAGGAGGCTCTTCTGAGGCTGCTGCCAGTGGTCAAAGCCTCAAAGAAAGCTCTGTGAGTACAGACAGATTGATCTCTTTTGAAGTGGTCACTTATTAGATGGATACAGCCTTTTTTGATTTAGTGTTTTTTTTCCCAGCATTTTTAAATACTGAAACAGAACTTTACAAAAGCTGTTTGACTGATTGATGATCTAATCCATGTATTTTCTCTCTTCTCAGACTCAGAGACTGTAACCTCTCAGAGAGAAGCTGTGAAGCTCTGTCCTCAGTTCTCAGCTCTCAGTCCTCCAGTCTGACACATCTGGACCTGAGTAACAACCAGCTGAGGGATTCGGGAGGGAAACATGTTTCTGCTGGACTGGAAAGTCCAAACTGCAGACTGGAAACACTCAGGTAAGAACTGGATGAAAACTGGCTGAAAATCAAGTCCAGAAGCATCTCATCAGTGGAGGCAAATGGAGTGACAGAAAGTTAGTAATGGACAAAGAAAGAATTCCAATAATCAGGGTCAAACCAGTACAGAGTTTAGGTAGGTGGTAGCAGACAGACCTGAATGACAGAGGGCGGGTAGAGCAGATTTGGAAAAATGCTGCTGAAGGACTGGATTGAAGAGATAAATCAGGGCTTCCAGGAAAGTTGCAGCTGTGGAGTCTGCAGTTTGGATTTTTTCAGAGGTTGATGTGGCCTCTGTCTGTGTATGAGATTCTGTTATCTGCTGCAGAGAAAAAGGGGAAGTTTAGTTAGCCCTGACATCAGGAAGTGAACAGCTGTTCCCAGATGTTTAACCCTGTAATGCCACGTGGATGATATTTGATACACACAGTTAAATCCTGAACCTTTTGCATCATTTAATGGGAAACACTTTATTCAAAACCCTGTTGGACACAATCAGATATACCTGATAAAAGCAGGCAGCAGACTAAGCGACAATCATTTTTACTTATTGTACTGTAATAGATGCTGAATATTCAAAAACTATTTTTTCATATTTTGTTAAAGGGCCAAATGAAGACTTCCAAAAATTCCTCTTTATGTGATGTTGTATTAGATGTTAGAGGGTAAAGTGGCAGAGTTTCAGAGCTGAAGTCACTGCGTCTTTATTGAAGCAGCAGTATGCTGTCATTGAGAGAAATGAGAGCTCTTTATCACTTTACGTGAAATTAATAGTAAATACTACATGTTTTTTCACCATTTTTGAATTCAACAAAAACAAAAATATACTTTTACAAAAGCAGTTTGACTGATTAATGATTTAATCCATGTATTTTCTCTCTTCTCAGACTCAGAGACTGTAATCTCTCAGAGAGAAGCTGTGAAGCTCTGTCCTCAGCTCTCAGCTCTCAGTCCTCCAGTCTGACACATCTGGACCTGAGTAACAACCAGCTGAGGGATTCAGGAGGGAAACATGTTTCTGCTGGACTGGAAAGTCCAAACTGCAGACTGGAAACACTCAGGTCAGAACTGGATTAAAAACTGGCTGAAAATCAAGTCCAGAAGCATCTCATCAGTGGAGGCAAATGGAGTGACAGAAAGTTTGTAATGGACAAAGAAAGAATTCCAATAATTAGGGTCAAACCAGTACAGAGTTTAGGTAGGTGGTAGCAGACAGACCTGAATGACAGAGGGCAGGTAGAGCAGCTTTGGAAAGATGCTGCTGAAGGACTGGATAGAAGAGATAAATCAGGGCTTCCAGGAAAGTTACAGTTGTGGAGTCTGCAGTTTGGATTGTTTCAGTTTGATGTGGCCTCTGTCTGTGTATGAGATTCTGTTATCTGCTGCAGAGAAAAAAGGGAAAGTTTAGTTAGCCCTGACATTAGGAAGTGAACAGCTGTTCCCAGATGTTTAACCCTGTAATACCACATGGATGAAATTTGATACACACAGTTAAATTTAATGTGAAAAACTTTATTCAAAACCCTGTTGGACACAATCAGAAACACCTGATAAAAGCAGGCAGCGGACTAAGCGACAATCATTTTTACTTATTGTACGGAAATAAATGCTGAATATTAAAAAAATATTTCTGTTAATTTTTTCATATTTTGTTAAAGGAGCAAATGAGGACATCAAAATATTCCTCTTCATTTGATGTTGTATTAGACTTTAGAGGGTAAAGTGGTGGACTTTCAGAGCTTAAGTCACGGCATCTTTATTGAAACAGCAGTATCAGAATCAGAAAATCTGAATCAGAATCAGAAATACTTTAATAATCCCAGAGGGAAATTATTTTTGTTACTACTCCAGAAATACAACAGCATATACATGTATACATGTCTATACATATATACAAAATTCCACACAATTTATAAATAAATATATACGTAAGCAACTTTATGTACAGGGGTTGGACAATGAAACTGAAACACCTCTCATTTTAGTGTGGGAGATTTCATGGCTAAATATGACCAGCTTGGTGGCCAATCTTCATTAATTGCACATTGAACCAATAAGAGCAGACTGTGAAAGTCCAATTAGTAGGGTAAAAGCACAGTTTTGCTCAAAATATTGCAATCCACACAACATTATGGGTGACATACCAGAGTTCAAAAGAGGACCAATTGTTGGTGCACGTCTTGCTGGCGCATCTGTGACCCAGAGAGCAAGTCTTTGTGATGTATCAAGAGCCACGGTATCCAGGGTAATGTCAGCATACCACCAAGAAGGACGAACCACATCCAACAGGATTAACGGTGGACGCAAGAGGAAGCTGTCTGAAAGGGATGCTCGGGTGCTAACCCGGATTGTATCCAAAAAACATAAAACCACGGCTGCCCAAATGACGGCAGAATTAAATGTGCACCTCAACTCTCCTGTTTCCACCAAAACTGTCCGTTTGGAGCTCCACAGGGTCAATGTACACGGCTGCTATAGCCAAACCTTTGGTCACTCGTACCAATGCAAAACGTCGGTTTCAATGGTGCAAGGAGCAC